TTTGGTTGTGACCGTTTCGGTAGTGACAATTTTAGATATTTTTGAGCCTACCTCAAAGACGTTAATCAGCACATGGATACCTAGCACAGTTCTGAACAGTTGTACACACATAAAAACGAAATGTTATGGAATATCACTCAAGAAAAGTGTGCTTAATTGCAAAAAAAAAAGGTGTTCGGTAGTGACATTCCTTAAAGTTACACACAGATTTTCATACTTTTAAAAACAATTTCCCTCAAAAATGACAGAGACTCATTTTACATCTTGTAAAAAAAACTCTTGTATTGGTTTGCACCAATTCTGTAGAATGGCCCATATGTATGTGTGTGTGTGTGTGTACACATACATACTGTATATACACACACACTCAACAGGAAATGTTCTCATCATTTTCTGCTCATAAAGGGTACTGGAAAAACTCTTATTACTCTGCAACCTTACGATCGATGAAGTTAAACATTGATATGCATCTCCTTTTGATGACATCCTAACACAAACTCTAATGTGACTTGGCTGCATAAAACTATATTGCCACCAGCAGTCAATCATTTTCAGCGGCTAATAACAGCCAATCTGAATAGCCTACAATTATAAAAATGGACACATTCATACATTGTGTGAAAATGAGTATGTGTACTCATTGTTATGAAAACCAGCCACAAGGTGGCACTATATAAGCAACTATACTTTTTTTGCTAATAACTTCCCAATTGTGAGGGATAGAATCAAAGATGTTTCTTCTGAATCCTCGCTTTAGTGTATATAAAAGTGAACTTCTGTGCAGAAAAGTTAACACTTCTAAAATCTTTGTACATATAGAGAACAATTATGATTAGTTTCATGAATGTGATGCTCAGTGGGCTTACCGCAAATTATAAACTATTAGCCATTTCAACCAAAAGATGAAGGCTGTAATACTAATGCTGTCCACTAGCACAGTAAAATATTTTTTATGTTTTTTTCTTCTTTTATATCAGTTTCCATCACATTAAATGAAAATAAATGCATAGATCTTGTTCATTTGTATAACTATGATGTACTGACAGTACAGTTTTATAATATTAGTGTATGTAGAAATATGTTAAATGCTTACAGATTATTAAATGTTTAACTTTTATGCCTAAAATAAAAATATTTGTCAATCTGCCAGACATGATTAAATATATTGTTGTCCATTTAAAATGAATATCAATTTTATTGGTCTCTTTTAAGATAACATAGGCCTGGGCGATAAAACGGTATCGATATTTATTGACGGTACACCCTCTTCGATAACGATAAAAAACATGTTCGATATAGCGCACGATATAGGCACGTGCTATGAGTGATACAGACCGCACACACAAACATGAACACATGCTGAATTGAGTGCTGTGCCTGCCTGTGATGAGGAGATTGTGAATAAAAAAAAATGAATATTAGTCGAATTTAAAATAAACATTTGCATTTGAATGCAAAAATAGTACTATGAAATGTTAGGTGTGCGTCAGGGAGCGTCATCAGTGGAACGCGAGATGCGGTGATGATGATGTAAGTGACATTGCATTTTAATGTTTTATAAGTCTAGCCCACAAGACGTGCAGTTGCGGCTTTATTCATTCAAAATATTAGAGAAATATAGAAGCTCAATGCGTAGAAGATCTTGATTGGGTTAAAACCGAAACCAAGCCATTCACACAGAACACATATTCAGTGCATTTTTTAGACAGACAAATATGACTGCTGCACTCATGTCTCACACAAGAGATGTATAGAAAGCCATGCAAAGTTAAACAGTTTAAACTTTTAGAAAATGCGTCACGAATTTGTGGAGGGTTATTCCGTTTCACTGCATCTCATATGTTTTTAAAGGCAATCTGTGTGATCGGCGATTTGGCTTCGATATGAAACATTATATCATTGATACATTTTTTAGCTATATCGACCAGCCCTAAGATAACATATAGTATAATAATTCTATAAGGATATATTTATTTAATGTTGTGGTATGATATGTAAACAAACATGTTAAACTGCAAGCATTTAAGTAATCATGCAGACAGCACATACTCATGAGCACATTATCTTATTACTTGACATGAGCTCAAAAGCATTCGCGACCCAATAATTATTAGATTTTTTTTCCTAACACGTCTTATGTAATATGACAGTTTGTTTTGTGTAGTATTTCTGCCTTTCAGTATTACACTCTATTATAATTTGTACAAAAATATGACAAGTTTTCTTGGTTTCAGTTTCAGTTCTGCAAACCATTGCACATTAGAGTTTAAACTTCACAGGACTCATTTTACATGGGAAAAAAAAAAAGTTTTGCAATGCAAATTATATTTTGTCATTCATTTGAAATTGTCCTATGGCATCCTATGAAATGTAATTCATCTAAATTTTTATGTTTAATGAGTCCGCACATAAACCAACTTATGATCATGTCTTATGACAGTAAACATTTTTACAGAGGGTGTTTTTGATCCCTTTTAACGTGCGTGTTGTGTGTTGCTGTAGTTGTTTCATTACAACTACCAATGAAGACTGAAGATGGGCTTTTTGCTGTAAAAACCACATCATAAGATACATTTCAATTGGATCACTATTCATCCATTTGGGTCAATTGTTCTTGGACCCCAAAGATTGCCGCTTGTGGCTTTATTTATTATTATTATTATTATTATTATTATTATTATCCAGTGTTAATTTAGTCTTATTTACAGTATATACTGTTATAGTATTTATTAGGGATGCACCGATACCGATACTGGTATCGGTATCGGGCCCGATACTGAGCTCCTGTACTCGTACTCGTTAAAATGCCCCGATACCAAACGCCGATACCACACAGCACGTGATAAGCGCCATATTCAAACAAAGAAACACCGACAACAGAACAACAGACAGCAGAAAGGAGTTAAGGATGTCTACTACGAAGTATATGTATGCAATGAATATAATGTTAAACATTCAGTATTAACGCCTGTATAGCTGATGTGCGCGAGCTGATTAACAAAGCACGCTGAGTGGATTGAGCGCGCAGCGGCGCAGATGCGCGAGCTTGTC